TCTTCCCCTCGGATCTATTGCAGGAAATGGATAATTGCAACTTATATCATGATTTGTGCGATTAGATTAGGGTTTTTCAAATTTCTTATTGCAGATTTAAATTTTCTTCATCAAGATTTACTGCATTTGAAGCTAGATCAAAGACTATTTACATGGACAAGCGAAGATGCATCGCGTCCCCATCCTATCATAAAATGATGCCAAAGGCCACGCATTATTTGGAGGCAATTCTGACTTTCATTCAACAGACAGTGCACGATGCACCCTCATTTAATACATTTCAACCCCCACCCACCCCTCCCCACCCCACAATTTTTGTACACCCAACTGTCAAATTGCGACAATGGTGTAGACTATATAGTACTCTTTCACCGTCCATATGAAAAGTATGTAATTACTTCGTAACCTACACATCGGCCACTTGTATCGATCGCAACACTTTCTACACACACCAGCACGATATGTTCACATTATAAGCTATTGGACATCGACTAGACAACCTTAAAGTGGAACCCACACTTGCTTTTCCCCCCGAGAGAATGGTCAAACGGATTAATTTGCAATTCTGGGGCATTCACAGGTTCGAGCTAAAAAAAGCAGGTTTACAAAAAGAGAACCGGAACTTAAAGATTAAATAAGAAAAAAATAAAGAAAGATGGAACAAGCTGTAACAGAAACTAATTTGCCACCAACAATTGCAAAAAAACCATTCATTTTCGGTCTCATAAGAAAATCACAAGAACAATAGTAAAAATCGGACCGAATTCTAATGCAAAATTCAACACAACTACAACAGTCATGAAAAACCAATACATATATTGCAAGAAAACAGTAAAATTTTCACTTCATCGATGTAGTACCTACTTAAGCCGACTCAAAAGGGTACTACTTACTGAGTCAATACCCGAACCACCACCCTAGCCATGTGCTAAGAACATGGGGTTGTCTTAGCACGCGGTTCGTTCTTGACTCACCCCAATACAGCGGAGTCCCACACTTCAAGTAGACACATATCAAGGCCACACCCTATAAGATATAAGAACACAAGCAAAATACAAACAATCTCTAGATCAGATCAGATTAATTTTATTGTCATTGTGAATAAAAATCCGCAACCACTATCAACTTTCACAGTGAAGAGCAGCCTTGATTTTCTGCACGGTGCAAGAGATGAGATTATTGACAGTCTCGACAGATTCCACTGTGAGCTTGGCTGTAGGGAGGCTGTTAACCAAGATTTGGAAGGCCACGGTCAATAATGAACCACTTCCTCTCTGGTTTGGATCCCCGTTGCTATTGGGCCCATGGGACCCAGACCCGTCAGGTACGATTGCGAACCCCGAAGGAAGCAGGGCAACATAGGTAGAATCTCCACCATTCATTACCACATGCATTGCTGGAATATCAACGGGTGCATAAACTGCAAGTGACCCTGCCTCGTCTATACACGTCTCCTGGAGTATAAGCATACTACTCTGGTTTTCATTTGTTGCCTGCAAAATTACAAATCAGCTCTCAACTTTTCACGTTTATATGAATTTACCATTGTATCTTAAAAGATCAATGTTGTGGCAATGCAGCTGAGTAACCACTGCTATGACTTTTCTATAAAAAATAGTGACGTCAGTGGACCCATATAAACTGGACAGGTGTCATGTTTTGACGTTTAGAGTTTAGAAAAATCACAGATGCTTCCAAATTCCAATTTCGTACTATACAATCCCTCAAGTCCTTGGAGTACTCTAGACTAGAAACCAAGTGTGATACACATAATTTTCGTCAATATACAAATACAATAGTTTATGGGACTAATAGGAAGGATAATGAACAGAAAAATACAATAGAAAAAACCTTGACTTGAGGCATTCATATATACAACGTATGTTATAACAGCAAGAGTAAGGGGAGATGCAAAGAGTAGAGATAACAAACAAAAAGATATGATAGAATAAAATTGACATACGTAATCTTTGCTAAGTAGTGGTATATAAAATGTAAAGGATGAGATAATAAGGGTGAAAACAACAAATCAAAAGTACGATAGAATAACGAATCTATGCAAATTTATATAGTAGTTTATGTAGAGGGGGAGATAATAGGACTTACACTTGCTCTTAGGAGGGAGACGCAATTTCCATGAACCTGGCCTTTAGCAATGTGGGCCATTTCTTGCATGGGGCCGCCATTGGATAGGATATCCCACTCGCTTCTAAGGTGTTCATCACGAAGAAAATCAAACAGTCTTTGTGGGGATACTGGTAGCCAGACTGATGTTGCAGCACTCAGAACAATTCCAGGGGGCTCTCCCGGGTCGTCCACACTCTTTCGGGTCATGATTCGGACATCTTCGCCCACATTGCCAATACAAAGTTTGTTCCATTTGTGAGCGGTTGAAACACATACTCCAGCACAAAAGCTGTTGGTCATACGTTGCGCTAGCTTCAACATGCTCCTTCGTCCACTTGCAGTTATGGCTGTAGGCAGAAGAAAGTAAGGTCTTCTTCACCCGATAAGAGACTTAAAAAGATATGATTGTCTCGGTTTTATTTTCTAATAAAAAAATTGGGACTAAGATTTACCGTTATGATTCCTTGTGGGCACAACAGAAGACATGAGAATAGCAAGACATTCGCATTGTCTTTGGAGGGTAGCTATCCACCTTTGGGCACCGAATCCCATGCCAGCACTTATCAAAGGGCGGTAGAGATGATGAATTACACTCTCATCATATTCTGCATGTTCTACCCATGTAACCTAAACATCAAACGAGAAATGAGTTTCTAACATAACACAACCAGTTTCCTGTTAAGTGTTAATTTAAAATGTTCTTGCTTGTATAGAGATTATTTTCTATTTTACTTTTTTTTTTTTGATATTTGTGCTAGATATAGATATAGTTCTATATCAAACTTAATTGATAGAGAAAAACAATTTATTGTACTGCTCCAAGTTCACCCTTTTTTCTTTTTATTTTTTCATCAATGTTGCCCCAGTTTAGAATGTTTACTCCCGATCGTCAAACCTTTAGTTTATCTTTAGCTCCCATCTTCCTCCGTACCTTAAAGATATTTTGGGACTCGGGAGCCTAAGCTGCTCTTATCTCTAATTTTAATTGAATTATGGGGCTTCTCGTTAATATTTATATGACATAAAATACCAAAGAAGGCATGCAAAAACTTCTTCTAATTTCCCTTTCTCAATTGCAAAATGTGACCCCACAAACTGAAAATGAGAGTCAACAAGCACCACATATTGAATGGAAGTACTCAAAGAAGAACCCTAGTCGAATAGTATAAGAAAATATTAAGATTTGCAGGCACGAGGTGGAGTGTGGAGGGGATCAGAGAAATGTACTTGAGTCAAATCAAAGAGACTCAGATGCTCACGTGAGTCTGGGCTGATTGAGTAAAAAAACAGACACGGAACCAAGTAATACAGTCATATGAATTTAATATTGGCCATGGGTGCTGATCGAGACACTTCACAGATTGGAATAGAAACATCAAATCCATAGTTTTATTCTACCAATGTTGATGAAAATTATCATTAAGTTATTAATGTGTTTTAAGGAATAAATAATACATTTTCTTAACCTCAAATCAAGTGTTTTAATATATTAATACTGATTAAGCCCTTTTGTTGAAACTAAAGTCACAATCAAGAATGTAGACACAAAATTCTTAAATATTAAATGTTCTCAACTAAGCTCCAAAGATGTGGTTGCTTCAACAAACTTATTTAACACAAAAGGGCAAAAGATACCTACTCTCGAGGGACTCAATAAATGTGAAGAAAACAAGTCTTGAGCTGTGTGAAATATCAAATAAAAGTCGTAACAAAGTCAACAAAAGAATGCATAATTGGGAAGAAGAATTTATACCTTGGAGTAGCCATTGGGCATATCTTGGACTACACACCCGGAGGGAAGCCTCCGGCAGTTTGGCAATGTGTTAGTTTCCCGGATAGTATCAATAGACACATCAACAACAGCCCACACGCCCTCGGCATGCTGCTTGCAGAATCGGAGGAAATTGGCCTCGCGAACCGGGACCAGTGGCGATAAAACTTGGAGTTCCGCATGCATCTAATAAATATAAGGATACGAAAAGATTAATAATTTAATCTAATAATACACAGAAAGGGGGGGTTAACTCGATTGCAAGACTTGAAGGAAGACTCATTTTATTACCAGTTGAAGTGCACCATTTCTTGTTCCTCCTATACCACTTGAAATCACGTCTGCAGTCGAGGTTCTAGCAATCATACATGGAAACATTTCCGCCCATTTATTCTGTGAAGACAATGCAATGAATTAATTGATAAACTTAAGGAATAATCCAAGGAAAATTGAACAATAAATAATTATTGCAAGAATACTACAAGTTGAATTCTCACCGAGTCCATTAATGTCTCAACGAGAGCCAAACTGTTGATGATTACCATACCCGTTGCTCGAGAGGCCTCAGTTACAAAACTATTAGGTTTCATTCCAATAACAGGAGTAAATATTCTCGAGTATTCCTCATGGTTCAATATTTCTCTTCCACCTTCCAAGCTCCCGAGCCAAAGAGGTTCGTCGTTTTGTGCCATTTTTACCAATTCATCCATTGCAGCCAAAGCGAGCTCAGAATACATTGATCTCTCTAATGATCTCTCAATTGGTATTACATTCATCATTGTCTTAGTCGGAGGCATCACAGGCGAAGGATTCGATATCCCGATCCCAAAATCAGGAGGCCCCAAAGGCAAAGTTGCTGGAATGGTGCCCATGCCCCCAAATCCATTGTTACCAACGCCAAGTTCCAAACTTGAGTTTGGCAATGCCGGCCCCATGGAAAACGCAGAAGATGAAATTGGCCGGCCTAAAAACTTGCCTGCCAGCGAACAAACGCGATCTAATTCATCCTTTAGCCTGGCATTCTCAATTCTAAGGTGCTGTTCCTCTAGAGATATTTCACCAATTATCGCAGGACCACCACAGTTAGTGCAAATAGGATTCCTCATTGCTTCTCTAATCGACATATTTTCAGCTCGAAGTTTATCATTTTCTTGCCTAAGTATCGAATTCTCATGGCGTTCGATTTGTGTCTGATGCAACCAAGAATTCAAATTTCTCAATCAAACGTTTATATGGTCAAATAAACATCCCAAAGGAGAAGGAAAAATCAAGAAATCAAACTAAAGTTTCCATCTTTTCTGTACCTTCATCTGAGTTCTTCTATTCTGAAACCAAAACTTGACTTGTCTAGTATCCAAGCTAAGCCTTTTGCTAAGCTCTAGTCTTTGCTTTTCATCAGGATGTGGACACTCCTTGAAGAGACTAAACAGCAAAAAGAAAATATTCATTAAAAAAAAAAATTGTTAATGAATTGAAACAAGTGGACAAAACGGATCGAGAGAAATTTACGCTTCAAGTTCTTGAATTTGCTGAGGGGTGTGTCGGTGGTATCTCTTCTTCCTCGGCGGCTTGTCGGCAGCGTCTTGATCATCCCCCGAGGCACCCTCCATATTGTCACTACCAGATCTGCTCTCATGCTCTTCATCTCTGCTTCTTCTTCCACCAACATTACCTGACTCGTAATTTTTCCCCATTCTTGCCACCTCTCCTTGCCCCTCCATATTCGTTTGCTGCCCAAAAATCGAAAAAAAAAAAGAAAAAGAAAAATCAGCAGACAAAATGGACGTGTATATAACATATGATGGAGAGAGAGAGAGAGAGAGTGGCGTACAAGAGCTAGAGAGAGGCCAGAAGAGTTGAACGTTGGCTTGGAGGAGAGAGACTGAGAAACAAGGCGTGGGTGAGTAATGGTGCCAGTGGGCATGTTGTTGCTGTCCATATAGCTGATGTTAGCGTTACTGTTGCTATAAGGCATATCGGCAACGATTCTTGCACCACCACCGGTGTTGTTATCAAGGAAACCAGCAAAATTCATGAAATTTCAATTGCTGAGATTTTCTCTTTCTTCTGTCTTCCAACTACTCTCCCTATAAATATACCCCTAAAAAGAGCTTGCCTTTCCCCCTCCCTTTTTCCTTCCCAAACTTGGCTGTGTACACATAAAATTACATTCAGAGAATCACTCCCGTTTCTATATGTTACAAATATCAGATTTTAAAAATGAACCCACCAAGAAAATCGCTAGATGATGGACAGAGTTGGAGACAATTGTGTATATATATATATATATATGGAAACGTATAAATTTCAAGAATAGGTAAAAATCCAACGATTTAAACGCACGAAATAAACCCAAAACACAATAAAATGATGCAAAAAAGAAAAGAGAGTCAGGGAAGACACGAGGCCTAAATCCAAATGTCTCAAACTGCCTCTCTCTCTCAAGGAGATAAAGAAAGAGATAGAAGTTCTATTTTTTGCTACTTTAGCAACTCTTTCTCTCGAATCCTCTCTCTAAATCTCTCAGTTTAAATGTGAAAAAGGATGAATGTCTAAAGAAAACCCTAGTTTATGAAGACTTTTTAGTTTCTCTTATCCCAATATCTGCATGCTGGACTTGCAGAAAGCAAAGTTCCATATTCTACAGAAGCAGAAAAAAGTGATTTTGTTTTTCAGAGTGAAAGAAAGGTGAAGTAGGGATAATATTCATGATCCAGTTAAACCATACTATGTGGAGTCATCGAAACCCACATATACATACGACGAAAAAGGTCGGTTGGTTGACTCTCTCATTAGTCTCTTTCTCTCTTTATAAACTTTCTGGTGAAAAATTTGCTGCTTTGATTCATCCCTTTTCCCAAGTAAAAAAAGAAAATGTCAACACAACTGGATTTTAGAATAGAAAAAAAATTCAGAAAATTCTTGATTTTACAGGAAAAAGACAGACAGACACAGTCTTTCAACACTGTTCTCTCTCTCCAACGCGCTTTCGAACACGCCCCAACATTTTTTTTTGGGCTGGGCTTGTTTTTGGGCCTGCATTTGACCCAATATATTGAGCCATGTTAAGAATTTAAAAAAAAAATAAAAATTTGAAGCGTTTATCGAAAAATCAAGGGACGAAGCAAGGAATTCTCTTAACCAATTAATTAATCTCTATATTGTCTAACTTGAAACTACCTTAAAAGTACACAAAAAAAGATGAGAAATGCTATTCATCCCCACTGGGGATGCATCCCCAATCTATGTGGCGTTAAATGATAGGTGAAATTAAATAAGTCATTTAATTTCACCTATCATTTAACTAATCATTTACATCCACATAAATTGGGGATGCATTCTCACTGGGGATGAATAGTATTTTTCAAAAAAGATTTCTTTGAAATTACAGTAAATGCAGATTTGTGAAGATGGTCACCCCGTTTGACGCCCTTTTTTTATCTCATTCTCATTCAATTCTTCAAATAAAATAATATTATACATAAACCCAAAAATTCTTCTTACTTTTTAACCACACATTCTTTACATCAATTACTATTCAAAAACTCATTTTTCAAAAGAATGGGTGCCAAACAAGCCCATCAGAGTAATTAATTTAATAAAGCATTCACTCACTCCAAATTTAATAACTTCAATTATTGTTTTTAATCAGCATTGGTTTCTTAAATTGCATTCACTACATAATACTCATTCACATAATTGAAATATCTTGCGTTTAAGATCCTAGAAAGCATATTAACTTGTTACGAACACTTAGACACGTTTGAGAAAACTTATATTTTTTACTTCTGCTTTTTATAGAAGAGCTTGTTGAAGAACCCACCTTATACCAATTCTCTCCAAATGGTTCGGTAATTGCAAGGGCCGATGATCATTAACCATGTAAATGAAGTATCAAGAATCTAATTGTGCATTATTCATCATAAAAAAAAAATTACTTCAAGCAATGAAAAGAAATTTGAAAACTCGTTTTTTCTTAAATTCAATTTCAACCAAAATTTTTATGGGATTCACAATTTTTTAAACACACATTTCGTCAACTTTTATCAGAATTTAATTGTATTTAAACCAAATAGAGGCTTTATTTTAAGTTAATATTAATCATTTGAACATGCTTGATTAAATTAAAACTAGGTCCTTTGTTTGAAGAACATTTATTAAGCTCCTTTCCTATCATGAAAATCTAGAAATGTAACTCTCTAAATGTCATGTTAAATTAGTAAATTACTAGTGTGGCCTTTAATACTATTAATTGTCTATTTTACTTATCATTTTCATGCAGCAAGTAATTTAATGGCATCAATTCATGTTAATGTTTAGTATAATTCAATATCATAGGTAGTTCCTACTGTATAATTTAATATTTTGAGAATTATATACAAGTAACACTTCCATTAAGGCCGGGATTAAATGAAATTATGTGCAAGATAAGAAACTCTTTTACAAAAAAGTATGAGTTCTGCCAAACAGATCCTTAATATGATTTGGTAAGTGTGAAAACGGCGTGGTTTAGTTCGTTGCATCCAAGCGATATAAAGATTCAACTTAATTTAATTTTTCTACAACTAGCTCCGTCTCTACAAAACCCTAACCTATAACTCTAATTCTTCGTTAACCTCTAATGCACGACACAAGATATGTACACATATACTTAGCATTTTCTTGCTCACAAATTAAGTACACTATACGACATTATGACTTGCCAAACTCTTTTCTTATCCCTATAAACTATATTTTCCTTAACGATTCCATGCTTTCATAGTTTGTATTTAGGGTTTGTTTGGGAGAGCTAAAAAGCTTATTTGATAAGAATGAGTGGCAGATTTCATAACATGAGTTGTTAAAGAGTGGATACTGGCTAGAAATTGTAGGTTCTACGTAATGTTTCGTTAAAATTGATTGTTGATTCGGAGGTCAATTTTATTAACAACTTTTTAAGCTTTCCTATACAAGCACTTATTGGCTTTAATTCGGGAGGCCCACTGCTACAAAACCCTAATCTAATTTCCCTGTAACCTCTAATGCACGACACATATACATTAGCATTATTTATTTATTTATTTATTTCTTTTTTTTGTTCTAATAACTTCAATCCACTCATAAGTATTATTTTTCTTCAAATTAAGTATATTAAATAATTTTTTTGCATTAAATTCTGTTCTTTCTAATGTCATACACACTGCCTAACCTAATTATAATTATAATTAGATTTGTGACACAAGAAAACTTAAAAACATGGTTTGCACATTTATATTATCACCGTAGATTTAAACATTCACCTTCAATGGTCGAATCACTAACCATCGATGGTCGCATTTTTTGCACGCCGTAAACATATGCCGTAAAAAGCTATTTTTATTGTAGTGATCAACCAGTCCAGAAACATTTGCGATACATTCTTTTACAATAGTGTATTTTGATGTCACTCATCGGGTATAAAAGTTTCATTCTTTCGTTTCAATAGTACCCTTTTGTATCTCGACTTGAGTCTTAAATAGTGACTATGTTATAGACTTGCGGTACAATTAACATTTTAACCAAGTTTCCAATGTAAAGATTAACGTATAAGCAACTTTTTCCTAGGCTTTAGACAAGTCCATTGACTGAATTCTATGATCGCGGGTCCCACCCCCATGTGAGGGGATGTGAAACATAATATGAATCAAGAGTGTACATCTAACATGGTTCTTTATTTTATTGTTGGATTAATNAATGTGAACCAAGTGTGTACATCTAGCTTTATTGGAATCCTATAAAGGGGTGGGGTACTTAGTGGGATTTGAGTGGCTGAAGAGTAAATGCACAGCATCACCCTTCCCCTTGTTGCATGTGACTTTAATAAACCTAACTATACCAAATGTTACAAACTGGCGCGGGTGGTCCAATTATCACCGTGAAAACCAGCTAGGCAGGCTCCTAAATATCAACACAATACTTGTGTGCGTGCGTGCGTGCGTTCGTGCGAGTGGAGTCGAGTTGAGTTTGAATAACGACGTATGGAAAAACTGTACCGAACTTTGACTAACGACGTTTGGAAAAAGGTACCGTATGAACAAGCAGAACATGTAGGCATCAAATAATGCAACTAAATTATGTCACTAGCTACTTCAATTTGAGTAGATTGTGGAATTTATTCAACTGGGAGCTTATAATTGATTTACAAATTAACTTTTTTGACTAAAAAAGTGAGTTCGACAATCTACCTCACAGTTGTATCTTCAATTATCATTCAAACTCAATAATTATTCAGTTTCAGTTATTGAGACTTATGGCCGCTCCTCGTCACATTCAATGTACACGGAAATTCAAACCAACCCCAACAGAAATCCGTTGTTACGACCGTCTCTGTCTTCATTATAAGAATTTAAGGGTCCGTTTGCCCGATCGTCTGTTTTTTATAGAAAAACTTCTTGAAAAAGTTATCTTAAACCAACTTCCTATAAAATTTCTTTAGCCAAAAAAAGAATAATTACTGACTTTTCAGAAGCACGGACAAACGAACCATAAATTTTATAGGGTTATGTTTAACTTTGATCGACAAGTATAAGTCACAATAACTTTACGATACTTTTGATCGCTTCTCATGATCAAAGAATAAAGATATACGAAATACGTTGTTACGTCTGATCGAATGTACGAAATATGTATGGATGACTATGATTATTATATATAGAAAAATTAGTCTTAGAGTTTCACTAACATTTTTTGTTCCAAATTAGGAAAATTAGAACTTTTTAATTTATTTTCAGTTACTCTACTAAACTCCTTATACTCATAGAAAAGTGGCAAACTGAAATGGACTAATTTAAGTATTTTAAATGACTAATTGTACAAGGGCATTTCACACACCAAAGTAGACTTTATTTTAACGTGAGATATCACTTTCGATCCCTAAACTTTATTTTGTTAGAGCTCTGCTACAACCACAACCTAGTTCACAGCATGGGTCACAACCCTCTCACATTCAGGGGCGGGGCCGGCGATTAAAATTATCAAATTCAGGGGCGGTCCCCACCGTTTTGTGAGGAGGCTATGACCTGAGCTGTGAAGCTCAGGCTGTACAAATAGCCATTTCCATTTTGTTAACATGTTTGTCCAGGTAGACTCCATCAATTGACACATCAGACTTTCTCATTAGAGAATTTGACTAAAGTGGAAATTACAAGAATTCAGAAATATAAAGATCTCAATTCATAAATCAGAGGTCATGTTTACAAATTCAAAAATCAAAGGTTTTTTAATTAATTAATATATAAATAAATATTTTTACTAATTATAACAATTTAAAAATTAATTAATTTACCCTACACAATTCAATCCCAAACCCTAACTATCCATCTCCGTTCTTTCTCTCTCTAAACCTCTTGCCAATATATTCTCTCTTCTCTCACCCACTCTCTATCCTCTCGTCAATGATGAGGGGTCGCACACGGCGCGGCGTGTGATCTTTGGAAAGGATCAGCACTGGTCAGCAGCGCTGCACAGATCTTTGGAAAGGATCAGCCACTATGTGTGATCGTTGCCGCCCGACACTGCACACAACGAAGCACTGATCATCGTTGTTCGCAGTGCTGTAGATCGGGTTTCCTCCATTTTTTCTCGTCACAAGTGGTTGTGTTTGTGGTTTTAATTGTGGTTGTTGATTGTTGGGTGGTTGTGTGAGATTCCAATATTGTCTTTGATGTGTGTGAGATTCCAATGGCACATGTTGTAAAGGGGTAGTGATGGCAAGATCAAGGACAAAGCAGAGAGGTAGGGATCGAGAACTACCTACAGATTTGGTATGTGATTCTTTCGATCTCGTCTCACTAGGGCTGAGACATGGAGGTGGTGGTGGTGCTGGGTATGGGTTATTCGGTGGTTGTGGATAGAGGTATAGTTAGTGATGATGGTGGTGCAATGCAGGTAGAGTTGGTGTTTGTGGCACATGTTGGTTTGTTATGCAAGCAATGGTGACGGTGGTGAAGGCATGGTGCATTGTAGGTTGTGGTGGTGGCGTGTGGTGTGATGTGGTGTGGTGTGGTAGGGTGTGGAGGCGATGATTGTGGCAGTGGAGTGGAGTGGGACGATACGATCAATTATTTCGGTGTTGTGACCAATAAATTGGTTAATTTGTGACCAATAAGTAATATGTGTCATGTAAAATGTTTTATCTGTGATAGAAAATAATTTGTATCCTAAAAATTTGTTAAAATAGTGACTTATAAATTTGCGATTTGCGACCGGAAATAAGTCGTGATTATAAAATTTGTGATTTGTGATCGATAAATAAGTTGTAACTATAAAATTTGTAATTTATGTTCGAGAAACAAATTGTAGCCTATAAAATTTTTGATTTGTGATCGTGAAAGAATTTGATTGTAGCCGTGAAATAATTTGTAACCAAATAAGTTATAATTTGTGATCAAATTGTACAGAATTATGACTCCAATTTATTTAATTAATAAAATGATCGTACTATTTGTACACCAGAGTGTCAGACCCCCTCATAAGAGAGGGGGTCCATGATTTTTTTTTTATTGGTCGTCGACCCCCTCTATTGTGAGGGGGTCTGTACACCGAGGTGTCAACCCCGGTGTACAAATAACATTTTTCATAATAAAATATATGTTTAATTAATTAGTTAATAAATGAATTTTTTTTAAAAAAAAATTAGTTTTTGAAGTTTTAAACTTCGTTTCTTAGTTTTAAAATGTGTCATACTTAATCTTATATGAATTTTGACCTTGATTAAATAAGATTTGTGGCTAGATTTGATACGAATTGAAAATTCGATTACCAATTTAGAACGTTGGTTACCAAAGAGAAACATGATTGTAATTTGTAAGTTCGTCGACTAATTAACAATCTTCTTATCCGGCTATATTAATGACAAAAAATAGCTAAATTATTGTAAATAAATTCCATAATCATTCGGATTAATAGGCAAAAAAGTCGCTTATAAATTTGCTAATTAATCCAATAATCTTATTTTAGCTATTAGCTAAACATTCGGATTGGTTGCTCGTAAATGCATTTTTAATATGATATAATTAATGATATTTCTGAACCAATTCAATGTTCAAATAATTGTTTATTAACCTTAATTAATATAATAAACCCTTGACTTTGTTAAAAGAAAAATGTAACAAAGCCTGACAAAATAGGAGACTTCGTTTTTCAAATTCAAACACAGCATGTGAGCTTTTGGAGCGGTCGGCCCAATAAAGTTTATTGGACCCACAGTTGATAGTATAGAAAGAGAAAAGGAATTGGACAACTCATACAAATAACCTTAAAATTATGAGTCTTTTAAAAAATATGTAAGTTAAATGAGATTTTTTAATTAAATAGTAACATTGTTTTTAATAAAAAGTGATATATGTCACTTTTTTAAAAGTTAATTTTTACATACAATACAAATAACCTCTAAAAAAATTCTTATAAGCAAATTGAAAGCTCAGTCAAAGATGTATTATTCAATTAGAAATTTAATTGTGTGTGACATTTTAATTAAAAAGTGACTACGCCACTTTTTAATGAAAAAATAGCTTATGAAATTCAAATGGACTAACAACAAATATGTTCTTCAAAAAAATTAAACGATCTCTGTTTTTGTGGCATTAAAATAAGGAAGTAATAAAAAAAAATGTCAAACAATCAAAAAGCGACAAATNTAAAATAAGGAAGTAATAAAAAAAATGTCAAACATTCAAAAAGCGACAAATAATATTTAGGGAAAATTGCAGCCACGGTGCCAAACATTTCACTTTTTTGCAGATTTTGCAAAAACATTTGTTTTGTACCATCCACAATACCGAACATTTAAACAATTCGCACCCTGAGTCCAAATTGACAGTTTCCATCCGTTTGACCCAAAAAACCGTCAATTGACTTCAAAAATTAAAATTTTAATAATTTTGATCAAATAAGACAATGGTAAAATGATAATTTTATAATTTTAATATAAAAAATAAACAAAATTCACAAAATAAAACCCATCTCCTTCTTCAATCTTTCCCAATCCTTTCACCCAAAAATCAAATTACACTCCCAATCATCGCCCTATTTGGAGGAAAAGGAACCTGCCGGTGGTAGTCAGTTGTGAGCTCTATTGTTGTTTTGGGGGTGGTGTGATTGACGGAAGTGGGAGAGGAACAAAAGTTGTGAAATTGTGAAAGAATGGACGAATTAGGTTCAGAAAAAGTAGTTTAAAGAGTTGGGTAGATGACAGGTGAAAAGGAGAGGGGAAGAAGGAAAAGTACAGAGAAAGCTAAGAAGTGGCGAGAGTGGGCACCGATTATGCGCTTTGTTTCAAACACAACTAAGCAAAGGTTCAGACCATGGATTTTGTGAGTCACAATTGATGCGGGATTGTAGAAAGCAACAAAAAGAAACTTACATATATGGGATCAGCGAAGATAAAAAGAAAACATTATCTAAAACATTGCAAGTGAATTTTCAATCTTTGAATATTTTCTTGAGATGTAAAGTAAGGTAGGATTTTGACTCTTGAAGAAGGAAGAATTGTGTTTTCCAGAGAGAAATGGGAATTTGATGGTGGAAGAGAAATGGCGAATTTGTGGTGGCTTCTACACTCTCCGCCTGGTGGTGCTGGTGGGAGGAGGAGGTAGCGACGGAGTCCGGCGGTGGTGCGGTAGTGTGCCGATGACAGTGCCGACACTGTGATGCCGGGAAGGAGAAATTGCAAGTTTTTATTTTTTTTAAAGTTATTTAATAAGAAAATTATTAAGTTACCATTTTACCGCTCCTAATTTTGTCAAAAATAGTCAAAATCTACTATTATTGGTTGACTAACGGACACTGTCAATTTGGACTCCGGGTGTGAATTGTTTAAATGTTTGGTACCGTGGATGACACAAAATAAAAGTTTGGACAAAGTTTGCAAAAAAATGAAAAGTTTGGTATCGTAGCTGCAATTTTCCCTAATATTTAATACCAATCAAAATCTTAGTATAAATATAGAAGATTGTTGATTTCTTCTATGTATTATCTCTTTATGATTATGTTTCACTTCTATTAACTAAATAGATAAAATAATTTCATTTTAGGAACAAACATCTTATAAGTTGGAAGTAACAAAAATTCAAAAAAGTAACAGAACACTCAAAAAATAGTAACTAATGCCTCATCAAAACCTTACAATAGATTAATGAGTGGTTCATTTTCTTCTTCGTGTTATTTTTTTGCAATTATATTTCACTTCTATTAAGTAAATATAGAATTTAACTTCATTTTAGAAACACGATCCCCTTTAACCAGGGCCGATCCTCTGATTTTGGAGGCCCGAGGCGAGATCCATAAATCCCTCAAAATCAACGTAAATGCAAAATTCAACAGTGTATTATGCAACTTATTGCTACCTTAAAACTTAACAGTAAAACAAAAAACAAATATAAAAAACAAAATATTTATATTATAAAGTAGTAAAGCCAACAAGAGATCAAACAATCAGTTAAATATTATTCGCCTTACTTTTTTAGAGGCAAAAACATTAATCAAATCAGAATAATTTAGCTGTCCAACCACATCTTTCTCACATTTAGGAGGCATGGTGTATGCGTTTATATCTAATGCCCAATGATTAGCCTAAAAGACAAGTACAAAATATCTCAATCATCTCACAATTAAAGTTTTCAATATAGTTACTACGTGCGCCTGTGTAATTGATCATATACAATAACCAATCATACAAGACGACCAAACCACAATTATATAAGCCGACAATGCTTCAAACTTTTCCAATATATTCAATAACAGGTCATGGTAAGTCATCGCTTACTTGAGAAGTAGAATTTGTAATTGTTATACCCTAGGTCCAATCAAATTTAGATATAAATACTTTGAATATATATATAATCGATGCATGTGTATGGCAATATCTATTATTTAATTGAATTAATATTCTAATAAATTAAATAATAGAATCCGTAGATTCAAGTCCTGTTGATTTGTTAATCACAATGAGTTATGATTGTGAGATACAAATTACATATGATTGAATCTTAAATTGTCCGTGGTTGAAGTAATAACGAGATACTGATATCGTTATTACGGGTAGACCATCGCCTGTAGCATTCTTACTTGTGAAGTAAATAGCTGATCTCACAAGATAAATGTGATACTTGAATGAACACGTGGATATTTTGTTACAGAATAAAATATTGGAGACCCACTGGGAGATTCCATATGGATAACTATCTGAGTTTTAATGGTTAATCTCTAACGTTCGGTAGTGGAATTAGTCTTTTGACTTGAGGTCATCATAGTACCTTATATGAGGACAGTCATACTTTGATGGTGTTGGATGTTGCTCTGCCAAGGGTCGCTAATACAGCATCGTTCGGGTATGTCAAGAATCATATGAAGGTTGTGAATGATCAATAGTTGATTCGTCACTCTTAGATAGTAAGAGACTATGATCTACATTTTATCCAATTAATTTGATAATGAAACCCTTGGTCAAGGTGAACTCATAAGTCGAAAAGGAGTTTTCGACTTACATTGACTTAACACTGGGATAAAAGATATAATCGATAATCGAGATTGACACATATCCATATCTCATAATTGATTGGATCATATTGACGAAATGATTATAATTTCACGGTAAACGAACAAGTTTGGTTTGTCGCATCACGTGACATTTCCCATCACATGTATTGTCTGACACGTTACTAGATATCAATTTGGGACGACGAATGTGAATTAGTGATATATTAAAATGGGTGTTTTAATTTATCGATTTTAATTAGATCAAAATAATAATTCACGTCGTTGGATATCATGATCGGGAACCTAATGGGTCACACACAAAAGAGAACTAGAAGAATGAGATTTACCAATTAATTAATTGATAAATGTTGAATAATTAATTAATTAGATTGATTATTAATAGGCCCGAATTAATTAATTGAATTAATTAATTCATGGATCGAATTTAATTAATTTGATTAATTAAATATCAGATCGAGTTATGTTTAGAAATTAGCCAGCTCACTTGGGCTAATATTAATAGGCTGTTAGGGTTTGTAAATTGTAGAGAATTTTTATTATTTTTGCTAGTACAAAAAAATAAAACTCTAGCCGTCATTCATGTTCTCTGTGTGGACCATTGGAGGCTGGACATTTAAACAGTTTGGATTGCAAATCGTGATTATTGGAGTTCAAGAAAAAAACAAAGGAGTTTGTGAAATTCATCAAATGTATAATTCTTACCACAATTTCTATCTAAACACATTGCAGATCTTTGGTGAGAATTGAAAATTGTTTTATTTCCGCTGTGCATGATAAAGTAAATTCCCAACAGAATTTCGACGAAAATTGCGGAATCACAATTCACACCTTTAAGAATTCCGCCGTCATATCTCATAAGCTTGAGATAAAAATTTAGTATTTCATTGAGACAAAATCACATAGGAAAAAAAATATTCAGAAATAAGGAATCAAAAGCAAAGTCATCAACATCAAAGTCATGAGCAGTGAAGGGGAAAATATTAAGGCAACACATTATGTCTATGAAATACCCAATATATGACTAATCATGTTAATTTGCAGTCAAGGGGATAAGTCTATAATTAGAATCAGAAGCTTTTGGCAAAAGTGATAATATTGGTCCAAACTATGAGCAGGCAGCAGGGATGAGGAATCAACAACAAAAATTGATCCAAACCTCCCAAATTAAATCCCTGATTCCCTTCCATGAAAATTGAAAAATAGAATTCTGACCAAAATCCTAAATCAACTAAACGATTTTAAACCTTTGCACTGTAGCTCTGCTCTATTGGAAACTTGGACAGTTACCTCCGGCTAGGCAAACGTCAACGAGTGGCTGAAGCGTGGAGGTGGCGACTGCGGACTGCCGACTGGCCGGAGGATTGGGGAGTCGCGGTGTCGCGACTCCACGCGGTTAGGTCGTTAGGATTGAAAAATGTTGTGAAATGTGTGAAACTTGTGGTTTGTGAAAAAGTGAAGGGAAGGAAAGGAAAGGAGGACTCGAAGAGTGGCAACGAGGTTGAATGGTCATCGGTCGAAAAGAGAAGGCATCGACGGTCGACGTTACGAATGGAGTCGGGTTGAAGGAGAGAATGAAAATTGATTTTCCATTTTGTAATTAAAAAATAAATAAAATTTATAATTGGGCCATAGATGAGGCCCATTCGATACTGGGCCTGATTGGAAAAAAAAATGATTTGGGTGAGAAATAGGCCCCCTTCAATTTTGCACCTGAGGCGCATGCCTCATCCGCCTCGCCACAGGACCGAGCCTGCCTTTAACGTTAGTTTGGTTAAGCAAAACCCCATAAAATGGCCTTTTCGATTCTTGCAATAGGCAAGGCCACTTTAACTGTTGATAAAGTTGTGCAAGAAGTTGAATGCCCACCTATTTATAATATATTAAATATCACATCAAGTAAAAATCATTTTTTGAACAATTCTAATCATACTATAATTCAATTATTTCATTAACATTTTACTTCTCTTTTTTCAATATGTATTTAATTTATTTAACAATTTAGTTACCATTAATGTACATATGCATTTGACAAATTCATTTCACACGCATGCTTTTATTAATGTATGAATTTCCTATTACTAATTCTCAATTAATTACATTCACATTCATTTAATTAATATTCATCTTCATTTATGCATTCAAGTGTTATTAATTCTAATTATAATTTAATTAGAATTTCACATTCAAGAATACATTTCTTTAATCACGTCCATGTATGCTAATAAACATTCAATTTTACTTAATTGAAAATTAAATAATTGATTTAACATTTATTATCACGTATATGTTCACTTGCATTAATTCTAAACTAATTAATATTCACATATATTCAAATATTATCTTTACAACACTTATAAACCATTTCATACACGTTCAACGTTGACTAGTAGTAATAAATACCCTAACAAAAAAATAAAAGATCTCTTGAAGGTTAGCAAAACCAGATTCCATTGATGAAAAATATTTGTGTTAATGTTTTGATCCCAAATCCATTTCCAACTTCTACGATTCTACCAATCTTGGACGGGAGAAAGTCGCTGAGCAATTTATTCTTAGGCTTTCTCCAAGCCTGCACCAAAATTTGAGACAAGTTTTGAACTATTTTACACAAAATCTTGTACTGCACTAAAAATCAAGAAAACTTACACCAAATGAACAGTGT